ATTTTCCGCGCAGCATCAGAGGGGCACAGCAGCTGGAAGCCTTATTGACAAATACAGTCTGTTCCCGGCTCCGCCACCCACACGGCCAAGCCCCTTTATTCCATTTCAATACACCTAATTCCGCTGACAGCACGTGGCAATCAAGGGAATTAATCAGCCCTGGACGCCCGCATGAGTGCAGGTAGGTGTTCGCCGATCCGAGGGATCTTGGAGGGGAAATAAAACAGAGGCAGGGAATATAATATGCTTTACGGAGGGAAGGGTGGAGGAGGGTGGAGGACAGTGGTGTCCAGGGTTGGGGACACTTCGGCAGAGCAGGTGTTTTATGAGCCAATAAAGCCTGTGATTGCTCGAGACCCAGTGAGAAAAAAGAAAAAAAAGGAAAGAGACCAGGAAAAACTCCCAGGAAGCGACTGTCCCTGCTCTGCCCTGTTTCCAAATGCCCATAACGTGATGGCTCTGTTGCGGGGGTGATTTTGGGGGTCGCGCCTGCTCTAGGCTTGGCCTGCGCTTAGGGAGTCAAGAACCCAGCAATAACCCTCCCTCCTCCGTGCCCCGCAGCTGGGCTGGCAGCGTTGTTCTCTCTCAGCTCACTGAATATTTTTACATACGTATACAATACAAATGAGATCCCGTAGATAGGGGGTTGGCAGCTCAGCTTCCTCAATAACGGACGGGGGCGGCCACCCTCCCTTATCAATAACCGCCACACAGTCCTCGGGTCCCTGCCCCTCAACCCCGCTCCCAGAGCTGGCTACGTCTGTCAGTTCAGCAGCCGTCAGCAGCTCCTCCCCACCTGGCTCCCGGCATCTACAAGCTCAGGTCTTTTCCCGATCCCGGAACCAATCCCTCCACTCCGGGGACTTCTGGGTCTCGGAGTCCCATGGCCTTTTTCACGGAGCTCAGTGTCCTGGACATGGCACCTCCAACATTCCTTCCTTGGGGCTAGAGTGATAGCAGAGTGTGTAGGGCGTTTGCCTTGCACATGGCCGACCCGGGTTTAATTCCCAGCATCCCATAGGGTACCCCAAGCACCGCCAGGAGTAATTCCTGAGTGCATAAGCCAGGAGTAACCCCATGTGCATGGCTGGGTGTGACCCAAAAAGCAAAAAAATAACCCAAAATCCTTCCTCCGGATGCCTTCCCAGATAACCAGGCCAGGCGCTGGTCTCCTCGCTCCCCGGCCTCCAATACGTGCTTCCCCCTCTGAGGATTCCCTCACGATTATTATTAAACACGGCATGGGGGTCGTGCCATTCCCCGCGTTTCTGCCTAATATAAACCAAGAGCCTGGGCACAGCTCAGGGTCCATGTCTGTTTGCTCAGCTCAGAAGCTGCAGGAAGACCTTGGTACATGGGCACTGACTGAATGGAAGAGGATGAGGAAGGGGCGGGGGGCGTGGGCATGGCAGCTGGGATGCCCCTGGCTCCCCTCCTGCCACACAGGGACAGGTCCTGGCGTCTGGCCGCCCTCGGCTGGGAAAAACATGTGTCTCTGGGACAGACTTCCAGCCATTGTCTGCCTCAGCTGCATCCCTGCTGCCCGCCCCTGCAGGGAAACCGACCTCCTGCCAGGCGAAGACGATGCCACCCTCACGCCCTGGTCAGTGGCTGGCCAGGGGCAGGGCCTGGGGTACCCCAGCCTCCCCCTACACCAGGCAGCCCCAGGCTCTACAGGCTGGGGCTCCATCCCCAACTCTGCCGTCAGAAAGACTTTCACCTTTATTTATTTTTAATTAATTAATTTATTTTTTTTGTTTTTGGGTTACACCCGGCGATGCACAGGGGTTACTCCTGGCTCATGCACTCAGGAGTTACTCCTGGCGGTGCTCGGGGGACCATACGGGATGCTGGGAATCGAACCCGGGTCAGCCGAATGCAAGGCAAATACCCTACCCACTGCAGCCCAGAAAGACTTTCACCTTTAACAGAAAGAGCCTACGATGGCTGGTCACCTGATGGGGACTGTCACCCGACATCATCACTGGAGCTGCAGTGACGCAGGGATAAGGACTCGGCACCAAGCACCTGTCTGGCAGGGGGCAGATTGTGAGCTCCCTTTCTGGTGCCACTGACACAGCCCCAGTGTCATCCTGGTAGCTCACTGGGAGCCCAACCGAGCTAGCGACACACCCAGGTTGTGCTGCAGTGTGTGAGCACAGAGGCTGGGAGGACCCCTGGCCAGCAGTATGTGGGGCACAGTGACGCCCCAGTGAGCACTGCCTTCCTGATAAGCATGGGGCCCCACGACGACACGGGTGGAACCCTCACGAACCTGGGTGCACATCCCATCACTCAAGTGAGGGAAGCCTGACAGGCACCCAGCCGGAAGGGCAGCCTCTCACTGGGCACTGTGGCCAAGCCTGGGCATGACCCCGGCCACGGCCACAGCAAAAGGGCAGGGAAGGGGGGAGGGGCTTAGAGCAGGTGCTTAAAGCCCAGCAACTGGGGTTGGGGAGGGACAGAATGGAGGGGAGGGCGTTTGCCTTGCACATGGCCACCGGGGCTCAATCCCCAGCAACCCATAGGGTCCCCTTGAGCCCACCAGGATGAGCCCTGAGCATTGCCAAGGGTGACCCCTAAAATGAACAGAAACATGAAGTCCTGAGTTGGGAGCCGGGGTGCCGTGAGGTGAGTAAGGGTGGGTAGGGGTGGGGGCAGGGGCTCTAAACATTAGTTGTTCACATGGTCTAGGCAAGAACTAGGCAAGATAACAAAGGGGAAGAGAGTGGATGACAAAGGGGGCAGGGTGAGGCAGCACTGCTGAGGGCGCCCCTTGACACCCTCTCCCAGGCTCCCGAGGGAAACCCCACTCGGGCCTGTGGAAAAGGGAGAAGACCTCGGCCTGCCACACAGAGCCTTCCCTCCCTCCTGCTCCCTCTCTTCCCCTCTCTTCCCCTCTCTCCCTCTCTCTTCCTCTCTCTCCCTCTCTCTCTCTCTCCCTCTCCTTTTTCCCCTCCCTCCCTCCCTCCCTCCCTCTCTGTCTCAGTCTCTCTCTCTCTCTCTCAGTCTCAGTCTCTTTCTCTCTCTGTCTCAGTCTCAGTCTCTCTCTCTCTCTCTCTCTCTCTCTCTCTCTCTCTCTCTCTCTCTTTCTCTCTCTCTCTGAGCAGAGCTGGAAGCAGGCCCTCTGGAAGGGCTGTTCTAGGTGAAGAACCCCCAGACACAGCGCCAGCCTCCAGCCATCCACTAACCACCGACACCCCGACTCTGAGCTCCTCCCTGCTCATCCCACAGCCATGAACTTCCTCTTTCCCGGCCAGCCCCAATCTAGAAGGGGGATGGTTTGGTTGGCGGGGTGGGGGCGCTCAGTTGGCCAATGTCCCCGCTTCCTAGTCCCTGAATAAACTTGTTTCGTTGTGTTTTGCATCCGCTCTTCTCTCTTGAACACTGGCCTTCGAGCAGTGAGAACGACAACTTGGATCTGTGACATTTTACGTAACCCGCGCACGTATTTATTTTTGAAAATTTCACCCTGCATTTAGTAGCTGCCTTCAACCTTTCTTTAAAAAAAAATACTGGAGGTTGGTGTGGGGGGGCTAAGAGCCCACACTGAGCCAGCCCGAGGTGGGGGGCTCCTCTGGCCCGTGTCCCGGACCAGAGGGGGACCTGGAGTGGGCAGCCAGGTGACTAGGAACTGCATGCATGGGTCTGAAGTGGCACGTTCCGTCATGATGCACCAGCACCGCCGGCTCTGTTCAGGGACCCGCGTGAAAATGTTCATGGCGGTGATTGTGTGGGAAAGGGGGGACGGGTGGTCACAGGGGCCAGGGAGGGGCTCAGTGCCGTCCAAGGAAACGCTGCAGCTGAAACCCAAACCCAGAGTGACCCCTCATGGTGCTACGTGGCCAAGAGCCCCGCCAAGTGCCAGGCCAGCGGTGCTCTGCAGGGCAGCAGGGACCCTGCAGCTCCTCTCGTGGTCCTGACAGCTCGGGCGCCCGGGTGCCCGGGTGCCCTCCTTCGCCCGTGTCAGGGCCCCTGGTGGTGGGAATGCAGCCTCTGTTGGGCGTCATTGTGTGGCCTTATGCTCAGCGCCCATCCGGTCCCCAAGCCGAGCCCTGCATACCCTCAGACACACCCCCTCATCCCATCCCCCCTGCTCATCCCTAGGGAGGCTCTCAGGAGACCTCTGTCCTGTGTCCCACTGCCCTGAGTCCCCCAGCGGGCTGAGTTCACCCACATAGAGGCTGCCCTTCATGAGATGGCCAGGGCCGTGGCTCCAGTGGCCTCTCTCACCATCAACCCCTCCAAGCTCGGAGCCCTTGGGCCCTCACTCACACAGGGCGGTACAACCTAGTGGACCAGGGTCTCTGCTTTGGGGGTTTGAGACCGCCTGGGCTCACATCCTGCTCAGCTGGCCATCAGCTGAGTGACCAGCAGTGTGTGTGTGTGTGTGTGTGTATGTGTGTCTGTTAAACCTCAGTGTGCCTCAGTTTCCCCAACAGGAAAAGGTGAATAGTAACAAGCCACCCCGAGGGCAGTGGGGGTTGGGGGTACTCAAGGAGCTGATGTGACACCCACTACCAATTCCAGACACTGCCGACCCCCTGAGCCCGCGCTGAGCTGTGTGATGTTCATTATTCCCGGTTGCCCTGCGCTGAATGCCAGCCTTGAAGTTGCCTGAGGTGCTCCAAGCCCCTCTAGAACGTCTCCCCTACCCGCTCTCCGTACCCCTAACCAACCCTAAAGTCGGGGCCATCCGCGGTGTCTGTGAAACAGTAGCCCCCAAGCGCCCCCCTCCCCCAGCTCCGAGGAGAGCAGGGAGAGCTCGGGGTGCCAGGTGGGGGGACAAGGGCGCATGTCCTGGGCTTCGAGTAGAGGCACAACGCAGTGCGAAGTGCGGGGGCGGGTGGGGGCGGGGCGGGAACAGTCCTAAGAGAGGGGTCCTGGGAGCTCTGCCGGAAATTCAAGTGAGGCCAGCAGCAGAGACCTCCGCGCCCCGCCCTCCATGCTATCACGCCCCCACCCCCACCCCTCCCCGCGGGAGGAGGGAGACCCCTCACCTTGAGGCCGCTGCTCTCCGCCTCGGAGCCCGGGTCCACGCCGGTGACGTAGATGCCCAGGCCGTACTCGGCGCCCCCGCGGATGGTGAGGCCCAGGGACCTGCCGGCTCCCAGCAGCAGATTGACCTGCAGGAGGGGGAGGAAGGACGTCAGAGGAGGGCTGGGGAGCAGAGATGGGCCCCCACGACGCCCCGAGCCTGTGTGGTCTGCGTGGCCTTCTCCCCACACTCGGGGTAGAGCCCTTTCCTCCCTGGCCCACTATAAGGTGATCGTGGAAGGAAGTGTGGAGAGATGAGCGCCAGGAAGCCGACCCCCGCTACAGGGAGGCATGCTGAGATGCAAGCGACAGCCTGGCAGGGGAGACACTCTGGACCTGCTGCCCAGCCCCCTGCCAGCCCATTCTGCACAGATAGGCACAGACCCACCTCTCTCCCCATGTGCCTTTTCTCTGGGTCGCTCCTTGCCCCCATCTCCCAGATGGGGAAGCTGAGGCTGACACAGCCAACATCCCAGGTCACACAGCCAACATCTGAGCACAGTAGGTGACTGCCTCCCTCCAGCCCAAGTTCAAATCCAGTTTCAGCCTGCTGGTAACGGTGGGATGGGACAGTGAGTGCTCAGAGCACCTGCTCCAGGCAATGACCTGAGTCCTGCGGCTAACCGGGCCAGCAATGCCATCTGCCTGCTGCCCCGCCTCTGCCCAGCCCAGTCCAGTGTCTAGACTCTGTTCGGGCAACGATGCAAGCAGCCCCCAAAGACAGCACCCAGAAACTCTGTGTGTGTGTGTGTGTGTGTGTGTGTGTGTGTGTGTGTGTGTGTTGGTGGGTGGGTGGGCGAGATACACACGGCACCCAACGGGCTTCAATCAATGACTGGCATTATCAAAGTGAGCAGCTCAGTGTGCCAGTCATCTGCAAGTGGATGCCCGTCCCTGCGTGGACCTTGTCATCATTGTCATCATGGGATGAGGGACTCCCTCAAGGTCACAGGGTCAGCCGGGTATGATGCAGTAATGCAGAGTAAGAAATCCACCGGGGGGGGGAGGGAAGGGGGAGGCGGAGACATAGTACAGTGGGTAGGGTGGATTTGATCACCGGCATTCCATATGGTCCCCCAAGACCCACCAAGAGTGATTCCTGAGCACAGAGCCAGGAGTTAGCCCTGAACACTGCCCAGTGTGCCACCCACCCCCAACACCCAGAAAAAAAAGAAAGGAAAACAAAAGCATCTATTTGGTCCTTGTTCACCACCGAGTGCTGAGCCCTCACCAAGCCCTAAGTGTACCAACCACCCTGAGAATCTTTTGTTTGACTAGAGGCAGCTCTGGGTGCGCCTCTGTGTATGTGAGGGGTGCTTGTCACCCCAAAGACCAGCCATGATTTGAAGCTTGTCCTTATCAGCCATTCCCTGTATTCTCTAGAAAGGGGAGATCTGGGCTAGGACTAGAGTTTCCAGCTGTGGGTGGGGTTTTGGGGTCTCGGTGGGCACAAGGCAGGATGCAGGGGGGGGGCAGCACCCCCCCCCCCCGGGGCATGAGGCTTTGTGCCTGATATTGCCAAATCCAGCTCTTCCCTCTAGATTCTTTTTTCTGTCTTTATTTATTTGTTTGCTTTTTGGGTTATATCCGGCGATGCACAGGGGTTACTCTCGGCTCTGCCCTCAGGAATTACTCCTGGTGGTGCTTGGGGGACCATATGGGATGCTGGGAATTGAACCCAGGCCGACCGCATGCAAAGCAAATGCCCTACTCGCTGTGTTATCACTCCAGCGCCCCCTCTAGACTCTTGATAGCAGCTTTTAATCGTCAACTGGGAGCCATAAGTCAACGGTTCTCCTGGCTTCTCTGGGTCACAAACCGAATCATCAAACCTCTGAAGGGGATCCCGTTGCAGAAACTTCTGAGTCTGAGCAGGCCCCAGGGGCACCGGGACCAACCAGGACTCTGGATGGCACCCAGGGGGCACGGAGTCAGGGCTGTACCTGCAGGATCGGATGCTCCCCCACGAGGCAGAGCCAGAATCAAGTTAAATTCAGGATGGCCAGCTGGCGCTGCGGAAGCACTTGCCATGGAGGAGCGAGAGAGAGAAGCCACCGCGCACCTGGGACAGCGGAGGTGAGTGTCGGCAGCAGGGAGAGAACGCAGGAGGAAGCTTACACTGCCTCACGCCGGCCCCCAAGCACCTGTGCCTCTGTGAGCCAAGCTGGGTGCCAGCCGGAGCTGATGGAAGATTCCGTCTTGCTGTTGTGGCTGCAGGAGCCACGTGAGCACACAGAGAGGGGCTGTCCTGGGTGTAGGGCGGGGCTGTCCTGGGTGCAATGAGGGGCTGTCCTGGGGGTACAGTGAGGGGCTATGTCCTGGGCGCAGTGAGGGGCTGTGTCCTGGGTGCAGGGAGGGGCTATCCTGGGTGCAGTAAGGAGCTGTGTCCCGATTGCAGGAGTTTATGAGGCTTGGGGGCTGCAGGGCGCAGGCCGGAGCCCCCCAGAGCTGCTGTGTCTGTGTCTGCTACGCCCAGCCCCTCCCCAGGACCCGCTCACTGTCCCACCCAGAGGAGCCAGGTCGGGCTGTTCCCAGAGGCCCCACGGGTGCAGGAAGGTGTGGGGGTGCAGGGGGTGTGGCAGCGGGGCTGCCCTGTCCCTCAGCGACACCCACAAACCACGCTCACGGCCTCACCCCAAACAGTGGTGAGCCCTGCTGCTTCCTGAGGCCACGTCCTTCCCCTGCCCTTGCTCCAGCATCCCTCACCCCACTCCCGTCTCCATCTGCAGGGCCCCCCACCACACCCCAGCGCCCAACAAACACCCTCTGGATGCCCAGCAGGTACCAGGGTTTGTCCGCCACCATGGTTTGGCCTGCCCAGGGTCAGAAACGCCAGCACTGGGCCACCAGCGACTTCAGATTTAATTCCCCCACCCCCACCGCGTGCGTGCGCGCGCGCGCACACACACACACACACACACACACACACACACACACACACACACACCGGTTCTTAAGAGTTGGCTTTATGCCCCATTTTCTTCTCCACCTTGTGCCAGTCTTCTCTCGCTGGGACTGATTTCTCCTTTGTACCCTGCACCAGCCGGGAGAACATTCAAGGTCGCTGCTGCCTGGGGACCAAGCGCTGCCCCAAAACACCCACTGCCCGGTCCCACCTCCAGCCCTGCAGCGCCCATTCCTCCCGTGTGGAAATCTCGAGACCCACCTCGTTCTCCCTGGCCTCCCCGCCCCTGTCACGCCGTGCCTCAATCGGAAGCCCTTTCCCTGTGCAGCCCCAGGCTCGAGCTCCCCACCCCCCATGCTGCCTCCTCCAGGAGACCCTCCTAGATCTCCACCCAGCAGGAGCCCTCCGCCCACACACCTCAGCACTCACGGTAGCTTTCGAGGGACGCAGTCCCCCACTCCTTGAGGAACATGCCAGAACCCACCCATCCGTGAGCTCTCTCTCCACCGTGCATCATCCATCAACGGGAACACAGTGACGGGGGCCATAGAGAGTAACAGGAGGGCCCTTGGCTCACGGCCGACCCGAGTTCACTCCCTGGCACCACATATGGTACCTCGAAACCACTTCCCAAGTGTTTGAGGCAAGAGGACCACTTGGGCCCTCCTCCCATCTTTCTGTGTCCAGAAAGAACCCCCAAGTCTAAGGCTGGAGTCCTGCCCACCTTGAGATGGAGGCAGAGAGGGCACGAAGGAGGGGATGGGCCCCAGCCCCAGGGGCTCCAGACACATACAAAATGCCAAGTTGGGGGAGCAGAGGACCCCGGCCGTGCCCATGCTGCTGCCGACAGTGTCCTTGGTCTGTGCAAACTTGCTTGGAAGCAAAGCGGGCAAACACCTCGCTGCATCTCCCCCCGGGGCCCAGAGTCTTGGCAGGCTGTGCGCCTCTCGGGGGCCGTGCTAAATGCTCAGCGCGCGTCTGCGCTGTGCCAGGTGCCTACCCGAGCACCGGGGAGCTGTGGGCACAGAACCAAGCCCCTGGCTGCCAAGAGCAGGCTCGTCGCTGTCTGGTCTGGGAAACAAAAGCAAGGCTCAGAGAGGCTGTGTCACCTGTCCAAGGTCACACAGCGGGCATGCCAGGCTTTCAGCCAGGCAGCCTGACAGCTGTGTCTGACCTCTCCTTCCTGCCATCTCACACGGGTCAGCAGAGCATGGGAGACCGGAGCCTTGAGCAATGTTCATACCTGCATCTCCTGGAAACAGCTTTGGCTGGTTGGGGGCGGGGGGAGGTGGAGTGGGAGGGAGGGTGTAGAGGTGGGGACAGTGAAGGACTGCAGGAAGCCTTGCTTCAGGAGACAGCTGGGTGGAATCTCAAAGGTCCTGTGGCTGCCTGTGAGCTTATCCACCACTGTGGTCCAGAAAAGGCTTTGGGGGCCGGAGAGAGAGTACAGCGAGCGGGGAAGGTGTTTGCCTTGCACGCTGCTGACCTGGGTTCAATCCCCGGCATCCCATATGGTCCCTTGAACATGGTCAGGAGTAATTCCTGAGTGCAGAGTCAGGAGTAACCCCTGAGTAGTGCTGGGTGTGGCCCCAAAAGCCCCCCTCCAATTTAAAAAAAAAAAACAGATTTCCCCCCCCCCCCACACCAGGTGTGGATCCTGGGGCTGGTCAGTGCGGAAGGGCCGGCTGGCCGCCCTCCAGAATGCCCTCCAGAACGCATCAGGTCCAGAAGGCCGGAATGAGGGCCCCAGGGATATGGTGTCTGCCTTGCTCTAGACCCAATAGCCAAATGAGGCTTCCATGTTATCTAAGCACCAGAAGGACAGGGTGTGAGGGGAGAAGCCAACAGGAGCTATGCCTTCTGTCAAGGTCACTCCACTGTGATTCAGGAATCTCCTACCTCCTGTGTTACCTGGAGTCCTCCTGGTCCTTGATGCTCTAGGCTCTGCTTCTGCCTTGTGATACCCAGGTTCCTCAGAGGGTCTCCGCCAGCACCCACACCCTTTGGCCCCAGCAAGACAGGGTCCTTCTCTCTGGGTCTTGAAACAAGCTTGCTCCTACCCCAGGACCTTTGTACCTGCCATTCTTATGGCCTGCCCCTTAATCTCAGAGACACATGGCAGTACCTTCCTCCCTTCCCATCTCAGAGGGGAGCCCCCGACCCTGTCGTTGCCAGCAGCACCTCTCTCCTTACTGTCTTCCTTCTCTCCATCCTCGGTGACCTTGATCATAGAGTCTAATCTTCCACTCTGTCCTCCAAAATTACTGGAAGCCACCCTCCCCCACAGCTGGGTCTCCTCGCGTCTTCTGTCCATTTCTCCATTCCCACCTCCCACACCTGGGCAGGCACACACATGTGCCCACTGAGTATGGGCAGATTTGTGGAAAGGCCTGGGGGGTCACAGTACCCTGGGGTCCCAACACCTAGCCTCCTTTGCGGGTCACAGCACCCAGGATGCGCCCCCATCTCCCACTGCAACAGTCTCTGTGCAGGTTCTGTCCATCATGATGCCCCACCCTCCCACCAGCCAATCAGGGGGCTCCCTCCAAGAAGAGAACCCGGAGCACTGACCTGGTGGAAATCTGTCCTCCCAGGGGACTTCCCACCTGAGTCCCTCTGCCTTGACTGGGGCTGCTCACCCCCTCCCACTCAATCCTTACTTGGCAGGAGGTGGCCAGGACCAGTTTCTGCCGTGTGCGTCCGGCACCCACAGGGCAGAGGGTCTCCTCTGGAACCCACCACTGTGGGTCCCTCAGCCTGAGCCCTGGGAGCACAGAGGCCATCTCCAGCCTACTGAGAAGTGCTGCCCTTTATCCCACCCCCCTTCCGTGCAAAGGGCTGGAGCAGGGACACGTGTGGCCCAGTTTCAGCCATCAGCAGGGGTGGTACAGGGAATCTGGAACCCAAACAGGACGGGCAGAGCTGCCCGCTGGCCGGATCTCTCTCACGGAGAAGGGACTGAGCCTAGTTCCGTCTTAGACTATCAAAGTCTGGGAGCAGGGATGAGGCTTGAGGGGTGGAACAGACGCTTGGCATGTGTGAGACCATGATGGGATCCGTAGCACCACCAGGGGTGACCCAAGTAGGTCCTGGGGCACCACTAGGCGTGCCCCCTTCCTCCACGAACAACAATTAAAAGAAATAAGCCATGGTATTCAGGCTCTTATAATGCAACCACTAAGCCTACGTTACAAGATGCACTCTAGGGCCAGAGGTACAGCATAGCAGGTAGAGACTGACCTTGTAGCTGACCCGCGTTCCATCCCTAGTCCCCACTATGGTCCCCTGAGCATGCCAGGAGTGATCTCTGAGTGCAGAATCACCCTAAGTACCACCAGATATGTGACCCCCCCACCCCACCCAGAAACACGCACAAAATGAGAAGACGTACAGCATGGGTCAAAAGAAAAGGGGAAGGACTTGCACTTGGCTTATCTAGATTTGATCCGGGCAACCCATAGGCCCCTCCACCCAGCCCTGCCAGGTGTGATTTCTGAGCTCAGAGTCAGGAGTAAGCCCTGGGCACTACCAGTTGTGAGGTGTGGTCCAAAATCAAAAACAAGAAAAGGGGAGAAGAAAAATAAAGCAAACCTTCCACTAAAGACTTGAGGTGTGGGCTGGAGCGATAGCACAGCGGGTAGGATGTTTGCTTTGCACATGACTGACCAGGGTTCAATTCTCAGCATCCAATATGGTCCCCCCACGCACCACCAGGAGTAATTCCTGAGTGCAGAGCCAGGAGTAGCCCCTGAGCATCATCAGGTGTGACCCCCCCAAAAGCAAAATAAATAAATAAATAAATAAGACTTGAGATGAAAAGAAAGAAAGGGTCCAGGAGGGTGGTCTCTCAGAAACACGCCCCACCTGACCCGCCAGCCCTGGGACTCCGGTGTCTCCCCCCATCCCCCCCACCCCCTAGGTCTGGCCACTCACCTTTTTCTCATCCCCGCCCTGCAGAAGGGGCAGAGTGCTCCTCCGGTCACCCTCTCGCTGCCTCAGGGCACTGCTGCCCGAGGGTGGAGACACGCTGCGGCCCTGAGGGTCCACCCAGGTGTAGATGTGGTTGGTGACATAGCCACCGGGGACACGCCCCGCGGAGTAGACGGACAGCACCAGCTTCTTGGAGCCCTTGAGCGCCTGAAGAGAGAAGGGGGAGGGGGACACGCAGGCGTTAGCAGGCAGAGGGGGAGACCCACCCCGCGGGAGGGCAGCCCTGAGGCTGGTCCCTGTTGCAGCCACAAGGACATGGGCCTACCCGCATCCTACAGGCTCTAGACAAGAACCGGGAGCGCGAGGAAGCCGGAAAGAAAAGTCTGCTGGGGCTGGATAGAGAGTTCTGGGGCTGAGTGTTTACCTGGCATGTCCTGGTCTGACCCCCAGCACACAGCGTGAGGGTGCATGACCACTCAGGAGCAGGCCCAAGTGCAGCCCAGGGGCGACCCTGAGCACAGAGCCAAGAGTGACCCTCCCCCCAGCCCTGCTGGGTGTGCCCCATCTCTAATCTCTCCCCCAGTTAGAAAAGTTGGCTTGGTTGGCATATGGGAACCTGCATCTAAAGGGGTCCCCAACATTCCCTAAGAGATACGGGGGAGCTCACCGCACCAGGCGCTACCTGGATGCTGACTGACCACCTGGTGTGCTCCCTTCTGGGGTCTGGAATGTGGGTGGCCGCAACAGGTACTTGAGAGCAGCCCAGGTGGACTCCCTGGAGGTAGAGTCTATGACGAACATCATCCCTGGTTGGGGGGGGGGGGGCATGTTTCACACACTCTTATCACCACTCAAGGCTGGAGGGGTCTGCACATCCTCGGGACCCCACACCCCTCCCCTGGGGAGAGGATGGAAAACTGTGGCTGGTTTTCTGCAGAACACACCCAAACACACACACACACACTCACAGTCACACTCACAGTCTCACATCCACATCCACACATGCACTCAAACATACACTCACCTATTCACAGACACATACACACTCACACACTTAACATACACACTCACAAATATGCACACTCATACACACACACACATACACACGTACACTCACACTCACATACACACACACATGCACACATTCACACACCCGAGTTCTCTTTGGAACATCCCGCCTGAGAGTTTGTGATGTCATGGAGACACGTTCATGTGAAGTGGGGGTCACAGGATATAAACGATTTCTCGTCATCTCACAATTCTGTGAAGAGCAAAAGCACACCGGGAAACTTCTGGCCCCAGGAGTCCAGGGCGGGCACACCAACTGTGAGGGTGGCAGAATTCTGGGTGCTTGCTGGGGGTCCCTCCTTTGTCCCACCACCCCCCAGTGTTCTAGGGAGAGAACTCCCACTATCAGAAAATGATGATGTGCTTCAAAGGACAGAAGCCGCTCTTGGCCCTCAGGCCGCCCCAGACTTGCCTGAATCTGCTGCACCCGTTCTACTGACTCCCCCCAACTGGTGTCAGCCAAGGGCCGCGGGGCGGGATGCCCTGAGCAGTGTGCAGGGGGCAGCCCCGCTTGGCCTGGGGCTGGGTGGGAAAGGAAACCTGGCCCAGGCGTGCCCCTGCCCACCCCTAAGCGCCCATGACTCCCAGCAATGCAGGGCTATCCACCTCTCAGAATCAGGGGGGCTCCAACAACACCCCCAGCAGGAGGCCTCCAGACCCCCTTCCCCTGGGGGAGCCCCAGGCGCAGGCAAGTACGGACCCGAGAGTGGGTGATGGACCCCGCCGGGTAGAGCTGCTCTGTTTCGGGGGGCTGGAGGGGGGAAATCCTCTCGTGGCTCCTAGGCCAGGTTCCTAAGGCAGCAGCAATCCTGAGCACGGCAGGAGGGCACCGGCTTGGATGCAGACAGTGGGACACAGAGCTGGCTCTGTAGTCAGTCCACAGAGGGGACCCCTGGAACCCCAGCTGGGCAGCAGCTGGGGGCGATGGGTTGGACAGGCCCCATCCAGGCACAGGGTGGGGGCTCACCCAGGTCCCTTCCATCTTACTCCCTCCCCCTCTGTCTCAAGCCTGCGCCCTGGATCTGCAGCCACTCCAACTTCCGCCTCTGGGTCCTCAGAGGGCATCGACCTTCTTTAGGTAAAGGGAATGCTGAGACAGCGACAGCCCAGCCTCAGCTGAGCCCTCCGGGAAAGATGAGGGAGGCCCCGCCCACTGCTCCTCCCACCAACCAAAGAGGCTCTGAAAACTGCCGCTACCCTCAACGCCCGCCCCCTCGAAGGTGCTCAGAAGCTGGTGCCCACTGGCAGCTGGCTAATGCCGCCGCTGTGAGCAGCTTCCCGCCGGATCCCACCGGCCACCCTCACCTGGAGGATCCGGGCCTCCTCCACTGAGCTCAGAACTCAGGCACCAGAACACTTTTCCCCCCACTTATTTTCAAAAGGTTTGCCTCGCACACGGTTGACCCGGATTCGATTCCTCCGTCCCTCTCGAAAGCCTGGCAAGCTACCGAGTATCCTGCCTGCACGGCAGAGCCTGGAAAGCTCCCCATGGCGTATTCAACATGCCAAACATAGTAACAACAAGTCTCACAATGGAGATGTTACTGGTGCCCGCTCGAGCAAATCGATGAACAACAGGAGGACAGTGCTACAGTGCTATTTTCAAAAATTATTCTTTTATTCAATCAATGGGAGATATACAGTTACAAAGCTTTCCTGATCGGGTTTCAGTCATACAATGTTCCAACGCCCATTCCTCCAGCAGTGTACATTTCCCACCACCAATATTCCCTCTAGCCACCCCCCACCAGCCTGCCGTTATGGGCGGTATGTCTGTCTGTCTGTCTCCCTCCCTCCCTCCCCCCTTCTCGCCTCCCCCCACTCCTTTTGTGCATTATGGTTTGCAATACAGATACTGAGAGACCATCACATTTGGTCCTTTGCCCACTTTCAGCACTCATCTCTCATTCAGAGCAATCCCTCCAACCATCACTGTCACAAGGGTCCCTTCTCTATCCCAAATGCCCTCTCCTGCAGCCCTGGAGGCAGGCTTCTAACCGTGGACCAATCCTCCTGGCCCTTGTTTCTACTGTTCTTGGGTGTTAGTCTCATACTATTTTTTTCCCCAATGTCCCACATATGAGTGTCATCATCCTATGTCTGTCCCTCTCCTCTGACTTATCGCACCAGGACATTTGTCTCTGCATCAGTCTTTCTCCAAAGTGAGCCTTTGGAGCCTGGGGCCATAGGCTGGGCAGAGGAGATGGAGCTCGAAGAGGGCTGTGTGTGTACACCCCTGCTGGCTGGAAGACAAATGTGGTGTTGGTTTTGCCACCTGGCTCGGGCAGGTCCAGCTGTCACAGTCCGGCTCCCGGCTAACCCTTCCCGGCAGCTGCAGTAGGAGAAGCGTTACTAGTTACTGGTCCTGCAGGTGCTCGAGGCAGCAGAAGGTCGGGGACTGGGCCCACGCAGGGCCGGGTCGGGCAGGTCTTAGGGTTGGGCCCATCTCCGTGCAGCTGTGCAGGCTGGGGTGGTCACAGACCTGGAACATGGTCCAGAACCCGATGGTTCCCTGCATCCCAGGTGGGAGGGGCCAAGGAGGTTTCAGGAAATAAAACCAGAAGGGCAGATGGGCATGTGGGGCACCTTGGGCGTGGCGAGAGGCCCCCAACACACACCATCACCCATCAGGGATGGTCTGAGGGACCAGGGGGATGGAGAGTTGACTGGGCCATGGGGCTGGCCATGTCCCTGCTCTCTCCTGAGTGAGGCTCACATGACCCACCATTCCCTAGAAGCAGCCCTACCTGCCCGGTCCTTTGGAGAACACAAGCCCCTGGCAACTCCCGTTCCGACAACCCGCAGAATCCTCCAGACTCCTAGAATCAGCTGCTTAACACCTGAACCTCACACAAGCACACAAGTGACTGCGTTTCTGGTCTCCCCACTTCTCTTCCTGAGATGGGACGATCCTAATCTCACTCTCTCTTTGGGGGTGGGGGCGTCCTCTCAGTTCAACATCTGCCGGTTAAGAATCTACCCTGCCCCTCCGGGGTGTGTTGGGGGAGGGATACTGGGAACACTGGTGGTGGAGAATGGGCACTGGCAGAAGGATGGGTACTTGAACATTGTTTGACTGAAACGCAGTCATGAAAGTTTGTAAGTCTGTAACTATCTTACGGTGATTCATTAAAAAAAAAAACCCTCCCCCATGGCTAAAAAGGAAACAGTATGAGGTCTCCAGATGGTTTCCTGCCTATCCTGTGTTTGTGATGTATCTTGAGGGGGGGGGGGAGGATGGAGATGGGGGTGGGGTGGGGAGAGCACCTGCCTCCCCCCAAGCCAGATTGCAGAGGAATCTTGATGGGATCCTGCAGATGGCAGGGCTAAGACCCAATCCATCACCCGATGGCGCCTTCTGAGGATGGTAGCATGAATTATACGTGGACGCCTTCAAACTTAATAACGTGCTACGTGGGTTAATGCTCTCAGGAGCCACATTCGCCTCCCTCGGCTCTCCGGAGCTGACTGCAGTGAGCAGAGCTGACTCAGTCTGCCAAGGGCCGCGAGGAAGGGCACGCGGGCAGCATGCTGACGGGGCAGCTGTGCCCGGAACCTGCACCCACAGTCACGCACCAGAGGGCAAGGTCAGGGCACCCACTACAGACACGTGCTGTGGGAGTCTGGGCCAGGATGCACTGCAGACCGGCCACAGGCACTGCGGGACCACACAGAACTCAGTCACAAGCTTCTCTCATCTGGGTAGGAAGAGAGAGGCTGGACCTCAGGAAAGGGAGCTGGTCCCAGACTCAGAATCACCTGGGGAAAAAGGAAAAGTGATGTTTTTCCCGAGCCTGCCCTGCCTAGTTGGGGCTCTCGGGGTTCAGATCAACCCTTGCTCTGATACTGAGCTGCTTCGTGGCATGGGGAAAATTTACCTACCCCCTCTGTGCCTGATTCTGGTTTTTAAAACGCAACTGCTGGAACTGGAGAGAGGACAGCAGGTAAGGTGCTTGCCTTGCACGCAGCCAACCCAGGTTCTGTCCCCCAATATCCCGGAAGGTCCCCTCCAACCCACCACGGGTGATTCCTGAGGGCAGAGTAACTCCTGAGTTACTCCTCTGCATAGCTGGGTGTAGCCCCCAAACAAACACAAAACAAAAATAAAAATGAAACAACAACAATAACAAAATGCAACT